ACTTGAATAGGCTGTAGCACAACACAGCAGCATGTCAAGTGGGCTGAACCCGTACCGAATATGAGCAAAGGTTTTTGATTTGTTATTCCCGCCCAAAGCTGTAAACCTAGGGGAAACACTGTCATTGGTTTGCGTTCAAGTGCCTACAGTGCGATTAGTTAAACTGGTGGTAAGGAGAGCAAATGAATTGCATTCCTACTAATAACATGCGTTCCAGAACACAAAGAAATTGTGTAAGTAAGTGCACTTGTCCACACTTGTGTATCAATTCAGCATGGAAGAAGACACTGCTGCTGTGTAGTACCTGCGTGGATGTAGCCGCCGTCGGCTCTGGGTTCATGATATCCTCCGGGGCTGTGAACAGCACGGGGAATATCATCGGCTGGTGCGGGAGCTGCAGCTGGATGGGGAGAGGTTCCAGCGCTACTTCAGGCTGAACATATTTATAGTTTGGCAGCTTGCTGCTTGTTTTGAAGTAGGAACGAATGTGTGGTAGGAACTAAAAGTTTCCGAGGATGTTGTCTGGGTTCAACACAAGCGATGGTCATCTACATTCCGATTGGTTGCTGGTCATTTGCAGTTCAAACGTGTCATAGCTAATTTGCATAAAGTTAACCAGTGTTCAACTTTCATTTGCAGCGCAATTCGCCGAACGCCGCCACTCATCACTTTTGCAGATCAAAACGCCCCTGGTTGCCACTATCTATTGAAAATGAATTAGACCTGACGCCTTTGCAGCTCTGGCAGCTTTTGGTGTGAACGTACAGTAAGTCAGGGTTGCCAACTTTGGTCAGAGGGCTGGAGTGAGATTTTAGCTTGTGACGTAATATCTGCTTGTGCGTGCGTGGTCACGAACATACGTGGACATGACGGCACGTTTTTGGTTTTTTTTACCTTGAAAGAGTTAATATGCACATGTGGCAAACAGAAGAAATGAGTGTACGTTTACATATTCATATCTATAGGCCTAAGCCCCACAAGTCTATGGATATAGACGTATATTTGTTTTATGGCGCAGATCAAGGTCGATTTCATCAATCTATGGTAGTGTAGTCATCTGCTTAAAAAATCCAGTAATATGTCCCGTTGTGACAAACAGAAAGATTTCAAGGAGGGTTCGGGGTTCCCCAAGAAAATTTTGAAATTCACACCAAGAAATCCTGTTTTCATGCAGTTTCATACAGAAATAGATAAATTCAAGGACTTTAATGACCTGTGTACAGGGCTGGACTGGGACAAAAAATGCCAACATTTATGTATCTTATTTGTACTTGCACACATTTTATTAGAAATTGAAATAGCCATGTTTCCATCAGCCTGTTTAGATGCGCATCTAGAAGTATCGCATCGGAAAATTATGATGGAAACGCCAAAATTCAAATTAAAATCCCCTGATTCGCACAAACTAAAATACGCTCACTTTAGCCGAGTTTTGGTTGATTTGAAAAAATGTTGATTCGCAAAACGGGGGATGGAAACAGTTATGTTCAAATTAAGTCTGACGTAGCGCACCTCTCTCCATGGTGATATCCACACTCCGGGTTGGGAAGGCGGTAACGCATTTACAAGCTGGTTGCCAACCACTAGAAAACGTAGAAGTAGAAGAATGCGAGACTTGTTTTGTTTCCGGTTCTGTGGAAAATTCCGTACATTTAATGGAAACACACAAAATTCATATTTCTTTTAATACGCATTTCCCAATGATTCCAATCACTTTTGGATGGAAACATAGCTACTGATAAACCTTGTAGAGTTTCTTTTGCAAGTGCTTTCACCATAGGCATTGTGTACTCTGTGGCCATCTAACTGTTACTACCACCAGGATGTATATGAGTAGTGAATGAGCACATTGATTTTCTAGCCTTGGTACTCTCTTCCAGGGCACGTAGGGTACTACTGAGATTTATTTTAATTTTGGTAACAGCGCAGTGTGTGCGTATGATATTTCACCAATCATAAAGGGCCTCCATGACCAAAATAGGGCTATTTTTTTTGTCCCAGTCCAGCCCTGCTTTATACCTCAAGGGTCTCCGCAAATTATTGCGTGACATTATGATCTCGCGATCCGACAGTTCCAGCCCCTCGCATGCATGCCGCTAAAGTTCCAGTGGACAATGACGCCCGGCATGGGACGGAGGCGGAGTCTGCCCCTCTCCTCTCCCCTCTCTGAAGTCTGGCTGCAAACTTCAACTCCGCCCACCCGGCGCGCCAGCTGTTTGAAAATACTCAGCTGGCAGCCTTTTTTCCAGCGTTCGTCACTGGTGTGAGAATTGTTTGGGCAGAGTGAGACCGTGAGATGGAAGGTGAATGCATGTGTCACACGCCAGATGTGTGTTGAGTAGTTACCTGGTTAAATGGCTATTGACTCTGCAGCAAACAAGTGCAAATCTAAATTGTCAGTGTTCCTTACAATAAATGAAATTAAAACAATAAAATAATAATACAAATATTTCTCCATGTTGACTGTTAGGTGTCTACAATGCCACGTTTGAGAACAACCCTGTGCACTACAGTGCTGGAGGCTCCCTGGCTGAACCTGTTTCTGACATATACATGGAGATGCGCACTCATTCAGAGAACGCTGTGCTCCTGAGGGCCTCTTGGGGCTCTGACCTGCTGATGGTAGGGCTGTTGGACTCTTCAGTGCGAGTGGAGATCCACATTGGCAACAGTGTCGAGACGCTGACTTTTACAGGTGTTCGTCGAGTGGCTGACGGGAACTGGCACCGTGTCAACATCTCAATGGCTGAGAAGAAGCGCAAAGCCTCTCCCTGGGTCATTACTGTGGATGGGATCACAGACGCCAGCAGCATGCTGGAGCGTACAGGAAGCCTTCGCTTTCTCAATGAAAAAGGAGCCATGTTGGCTATCGCAGAGAGCTTTACTGGCTGCTTGGGTGCAGTGAGGGTTGGCAGAGTCTACCTCCCTTTTGTGGATGACTATAAAGCCCCGCAGCCATCTCAGTTCCACTTAGTTGGAAAACCAAAGATTCATCTGGGTTGTAGCAGCGCCCCTGTTTGTGAATCAGATCCTTGTCTAAATGGAGCCACTTGTGAAGACATCTTTAATAAATTCCTCTGTATCTGTGACCTAGGTTGGGATGGGGAACTGTGTGAGATAGACACTGATGACTGTTCATCTCAGCCCTGTGTTCATGGAAGCTGTAAGGACTACTTAGCTGGTTTTGAGTGTCATTGCCACCTTGGATATGCTGGCACACTCTGTGATGAGGATCTAGATGAGTGTGAGCATCATGCCTGTGAACATGGAGGCACCTGTCAGGATGGACCCAACATGTACACCTGTATTTGCCCCAAGGGTTACAGTGGCCCTCTCTGTCAGTGAGTACTCACTCATCCCTTTATTTATTGGTTTGAACAGGCAAAGCTAACTGTAGTTTAAGCATACAGTGCCCACACAAAACAACATTTCATTTATCATTCACTGAAGCAAAGTTTCAAACCTTTTCTTCCAGGTGGGACTATCCTCCAATACAGTGTGGTGAGGATGTCCAGTGTGAAAATGATGGTGTCTGCAATGATGGGCTGTGGGGAGCTAACTGTACATGTGTGCCAGGATTTACAGGTAGCAGGTGAGCTTATTTTGGATTAATTTGATTGTTATTATGCTCGTACCAAAACCTCATGTATTAGAATGCAAAAGTCCAAAATGGTCACTTCACCCAAATTATTATTTTTTGCTTATATTGAATGGTTTCTAGCAATCCTCATGCTGATGTCTCAGGGAATATCAACTGCGTTTATATTTCAACAGGTTTTGATAAACCTTTCTGCCATTTCTGAGGATGCTTTCACACCTAACCTATTTGGTTCATTTAAAATGACTTTGGTGTAGTGTATTTGTGGTGCGAAAGAAAACAAAACCAACCACAGGACTTTATGATAGCTGATATGTTATTTTAGCAACAAGCAGACCAATAATAAATCCACCTGTTGATAGTGAACACTGTCTGCAATCTCATGATAGATCCTGATAAGGCCATATATACATGTAACCACGGTAACACAAATGCATGTCAGTGAGGGTATTTTTCCTCATTAGAAAGCTGTTAACACTGCCATCATTGTATCCGACTGTATGAACTTTGTCTGTTCATTAAAGGGATAGTGCACCCAAAAATGAAAATTCAGCCATTATCTACTCACCCAAATGCCGACGGAGGCCCTGGTGAAGTTTTAGAGTCCTCACTTCCCTTGCGGAGATCGGCGGGGGCAGCGGCTAGCACACCTAATGGCTGACGGCGCCCCAGACTAACGTCCAAGAACACAAAATTGAATCCACAAAGTATCTCTAACATGCTCATCCGTAGTGATCCAAGTGTCCTGAAGCCCCGACATAAAAAGTTGTTTCAATAAACGTCATATGAACTCTGTTTTTAGCCTCATTGTAGCCTGTAGCTCTGACTGCCTCTCTGTGTTCCGCGCTCACGTGTGCGCGCTCAGGGTGATCTGTGATGCACGGTCTCTGAAGAGCAGCAGTCTCGTCAGTACTGATGTCCAGATTCTCAAGTGCAGGCATCGCCAACTCCCAGTTTGAGCAGCAAAGACTTTCCTCATCCGTTGGCATTGCTTTGCATTTGAAACAACTACACCACCAGGTTTCCAGTGCTCGACTCCGGTATTCTGCGGCTGGCTGAGGGTTAGGCTCATGAGCTGCGGCGGCTGTTTCGTCCAGTTGCCTGAGTTCCGCGTCCGTATACTCGGGCTCAAACAAATACGGCTCAAGAAAGAAATGCTGTTCCTCCTCAATTTCAAAGTCTTCAGACATGTTGGGCTGTACTTTACTAAAAGACCGTAGTGCAAATTATCTTTTAGCTCTGTGGTTACTGCTGTCTCCCCCTGCGGTGCATGCAAGGCTGTAACTACCATTGAGGACACCGAGGTCATGACCTCGGTATTTTTTCCCGACCTAAATGAATGAATAAAATGAAAATAAAAATAAACCATTTCATTTGCGCGGTGAAAGTAAGTGGGAGGACCGATGGAAGGTGATTGAGTGACTCTCTCTTCTCTATAATAACAATTATTTAAAAAAGAAAATTCTGGTACTCTTGTTTGATCGACGCAGCTTTCATACAGCTCTGCACACACATTATTCTTAGATGGATTACTCACGAATGCAGG